GTGGGGAAAACCAGGCCTCGAAGTGGGGGGAGGGGAACTCTTTTCTTTCTGAGGGGCTTCAAAAGGGGGGCCTCCCTCGGCGGAAGGGGGAAGGAGGAGGAGGAGGAAGAAGGGGGTGTCCTCGGGCCCCTCATGGATGAGGAGGTTTAACAAAAAAGGCCTGTGGGGGGGTTGGTTGGAAGGGCCGGTTTTCTGTGTGGTGGGGGGGGCGAGGGCGGGATCCGCCAGGGTCCTTTCCTTGAGGGAAAAGGTTCGCAGCCTTTCCTTTCTTTTTTGCCGGCCGGGCGGGGTTTAAGACTCGGGGAGGGAAGAGAAGAGAAGGACAATGGGGGGAGGGGGAGACCTCCGCAGCCCCTCCTCGCGAGGAGGACGCCTGGAGCCCAAGGGCGTTCTGGGTGGCGTTAGTTTTGCATCTATCTGTATATGCCGAAGTCGCTCCTTTGACATTTTTGCTTCCCTGTGGGGTATCTCCGTCTATCTGTAGGGAACCCGCTGTTGTGTTTGTGTAGGTAAGTATATCTGCCTGTATACTCACTCACACGCTTTGTGCGTACCTTGGTATACACGTACATTTACGTATATTATGCAGAAACATGCCTGTCTCTACAAATAGGCTACAGATCCTGTTTCCCTGAAAATAAGACCTAACCTGAAAATAAGCCTTAGTAGGATTCCCCAGGATGCTTGTCATAGAAGCCCTTCCCCCCAAAATAAGCCCCATTTCAGTGAAACCCTGCCCTCCACCCTTGTGCAACCACCAGAAGATGACATGACTGTGATTGAATAGATGGTTGTATGTGAAAAAATAATCCCTGGAAATAAGCCCCAACGTGTTTTTTGGAGCAAAAATTAAGACCCGGAAAATATGAACCTGTCTTATTTTCAGGGAAACACAGTATATAGACACTGACATCCATGCACACCCACATATATAGATAGATACACATGTACACGTATGTATACGTTATACGTATATGTGCACACACACTTCTTGAAGCCCCATAAAGTCCATCACACACACCTTTCAAGTATACTTTGAAGGAAACATGGGAGAAAAAAGTGTGTGTGCTTGTGTATATATACACACACACACTGCCCCCCTTTTCATCTAAGTTTCCTTCAAAATATGCTTGAAGGAAGGGGGTTGAGGGACATTTTGGGGCTTCCTAATGCGAGGGGAGGGGAGATAAATATTTTTTTTTAAAAAAAAGCTTGGTTGCAGTTTGTTCTCTATGGTTGTTGGCTTGCTTCTCTCCGGGTGGGCTTAAAAGTCCACCTCCCTATCGTTGGGCTTCCTGGGGGTAAATGGGGAGTCTTTGGGGACTTTTTTTAAAACCAGAGAAGCTGGAAGGTGGCTGAAAACTGGTGCTTTTTCTTTCATTGCTGTTTCCTCCTCCGTCCCTTCCTTCATCATTGAATTAAAAACTGCTATCCAGTTGACTCCGGAGATGCTGAAGGAGGGCAAGTGTTAGGTGAGCTTGTTGTTGGGTGTGTGTGTGTAGTTTTAAGAAGGAAGTCTTTAAAAAGGTGCTTGAGGGGGTCCTCTTTGGTAGCCCAGCTAATGAGATTGAAGTCTGTTCCACCTTTCTGTTGTTTCTCCTTTGCTTTCTGAGGTGCATTTTTGAAAGGAAAATTGTGGATTCACCATCTGGCAGCAAAGAGTCTTTAGAAAAAAAGGACTGGGACCTTAACTATGTACAGAACTTGATGGAGGGGTTGCCACTGTTTCTGTGATGGTGTTGTTAATAATCATCCCTGCTCTAAACAAGAATTGGGGGTGCTGGGTTTTTACGGGTATGCCAATGTTGTGCTAGGTCAGACTGCAGACCTCAAAGAGGTAGTAAAGCAAGATGACCCTGTTGAGATCTGTCAGTTTCAACCTGGTTTTCTGGAATGCAACCCTCCGGGCTCTCGTGCGGCTTTGTCCATCTGAGGAGAGAAAATGGGTGCCCCCCCCCACTGAAGAGGATGCTGTTGGTTCATTTTATTTGTGTAGTTGCTGAGCTTTTCCTTTTTAATATCAGGAAGTTCAGTCCAGCCACAGTAACAAGTTGTTCTCTGATTTTGTGATACTGATGAGTATAAAGATGCCGAGAGAGGAGTTTGCCCTCAAAATCTGCAAAGGTGTTTTTTACACCCACGGGCTTGGGGAGGATTTAGAGGTCTCCGAAGAGGATGGGATCGAAAGCTCTACCCCCATGTGGATGAAAGAGTCAGAGGGAAAAGGATCTGGCAGTGGGACTGGGTGGTTCAGGCCCAGGTCCTTATTTTCCGTCTTACTATGACCCGCCTCTTTTTTCCAGGGTGTTTAGAATCCAGAGGTGGCTTATGCAGCAGTACAGCAGCCCCACCCTTTGCTCGGCAACGCCAGCCATCGCTCTGCGTAGCAGGTCCTGCTCTGTGGAGTTTTAGAGCAGTAAACAGAGTGGCTTTTCATTGTAGCACTAGAAAAGAAATTAATTAGCGATGCCATTTTGTTTCTCCTTCCCCCCCCCTCTGGACACACAGGGCAGTTGTGTCAGGAATACTGGAACCCAGAACCCCAGGCCTAAGACTGCCCATCTGTCTGGCCCAGAGGCCTGAACCCTGAACTTGGCCCCTGCCTGGGTAAATGGCTCTCCCTCCTCACCCTGGGCTTTCAGCCAAAGCTTGGAGACGATGCCATGATTATGACGTCCGGAGTTGTTAGGGGAATGAGTAAAGCAAGGTGTTTTCAAAGCGCCAAATCTGTGTTGCTTTAAGAACTCATCAGGCTGGGAGGATTGGATGAGCCTTTGTGTCAAACCCAGGGGGAGAGGAAGAGCCAAAAGAAAAAAATAAAAGGGTTTCTAGTTGCTGCTGGATGTTTTTCCAGTTGTGCCCCTGGTTTCTCTCCCATCCTCCGCCCCTGTGTTCCAGGTCTACCCACAGACTCGTGCCTCTTGGGTGGGCTGCTTTCCGACACACTTGGCTCCATTCAGTGGGAAACTTGGTTCTTCTCTTGTCTTAAATGCATAAAGCCTCGAGAGTTTTTCATTGTCTTCCTATCTGAATATCATGCCGTATGCACATTATTTATCACTTCCTGGCATTTTGGTTCCGCTTCAGCCTCATCCTCCATTCCAGCATTTTGCTCCCTGTCTTCTCCCTTAAAACTACCTTTGCAGGGTGAGTCTGTGGCTCTCCTGCTCTCTCTGTGGGCGGGGTTTGGGAATGCACCATTGGGGGGGGGGAGAGAAAGGCCTAAAGGCCCTGGGAACACTGGAAAAACAGGAGGGCAAGGCTGGTTTGGTTGGTGTCGTAAGTGCCAGAGAAGGAAGAGGTGGAGAGGGTGTTTTTATGATGGCTGTTACCTTGCATGCCAGATGTAGGCGCCTGTGCAATGCATGGCTTTTCTGATGTGCCTTTGAAAAGGGCGATGCCTAACACGGGCTGAGAGCAAAGTGGCTGGAGGAGGAGGAGGAGGGGAGAAGAGGCTTGAGCAGCTCCTTGGCACCTGGGGCTTTGTCACACTTGTGCCCACTGTCGGTGTGTCTGAGCCCTGAGGACAACTCCGGGTGTCCTGGTCTGGCCCAGGGAAGGAAGGGTGGTGCCCTCCTTTGTGGCCGAGAGGACCAAGGAGCTCTGGCTGAAGGGAGGGATCCACCTCCTCTGCCACCAGGAGTTTTCGTTCCTGAGAAGGTGGTGGAACAGCATCAGCCTTTCCTTCTGAGTCCTGTGGGAATCCGGGGCTGGCAGCAGACCATACATCCTGGCCTAGCTCAGGGCACGCGCCTCGTGTGGTTGGCTCCTGCACTCGAAGCAGGAAACCGAACTAGATGAATGTTGATGGAGGTCTCTTGACGGCTAGGCAAACCTCCTCCCTCGTGAAGGGCTTATATGGCCTGCCTTTTGAAGGGGCATCAAAGGGGGGGGGGAATCATTTCATTTTATTTTACAAACAGCAATGACTCCGTAGACCCTGCTGGCAGGTCCCTGTAGTATTTTAAGGCCTCTGTATTTACAATGGCTACAACTGTCTTTCAGTAGAGCAAAATCAGCAGCGAGAACGGTATTTCCAGATTCTCCTCTGGATTTTTATGACCAGCCTTCCATCCTGACTCCTTTTCTTTTTTAAAAATTACCTCCCAAGGTGTTGCAACCTGGGAAGAGCAGGCGCCGCCTTCTGCACTTTTGGCCTTTTCTTCCTCCCCTCTCCCGGGCGGTTCGGCTTCTAGCTGCACCATGTCCGACTTTGTCGAGAGTGAAGCCGAAGAGTCTGAGGAGGAATACGATGAAGATGGAGCCGTTGTTTCCAGGCCAACCAAGAAGTTCGTGGAGGAGGAAGATGGTGAGCCTACTTAGCTTGCGTCTCAGAGCTGGACGTTACATCGGTTTTACTGCCTCTTGTTTCTGCCTCTTTTAAGCATTCTCTGCCCTGGACATGAGGGGAAAACTTCTAGAAATCCTTCCCAAAATGACGGCTGAAATAAAAAGGTTTTGAGGGGTTTCTTGAAGAGCCCTAGAGAGAGGGGGCCAGGCAGATTTTTTGGGGTTGCTCATTCCAAAGCCGAGGAGCGACCTTGTTTGTTTCCTCTGGGCCTCCCTCGGGGGTTAACACCCTCAGCCATCCAGCCTGGGATGTGCAGGGAGGATGGTAGGTTTCTGGGTTGTGAAATCTACGTACAGTGTTTTAGAGCTGAAGCTACATTCCACTTGGCTTCAACCACCCTCATCTCTCCCGTGCGTTGAAACAGTGGCATGCCCGAGCGTTGGGAGGAATATAATCCGAGGAGATGGAAGCAAATTAGCCATCTGGTTAGAAATGGGCCTGCCCAGTGGAAGCCCTTCCCACCGATCAGTTGGTGATTCAGGAGAGTTTTCCCCAGCCTGGAACCCTCCGGAGAGATCCGGCTCCCGATGGACCTGCAGCCCACTGGGATTGTCCTCCCCAGCCAAGCTTCCCCGGTGCCTCTTCTCAGTGGCTTCCTTTGTCTGCCCTTTGCAGAGGAGGAAGAGGAAGAGGAAAACCTGGATGACCAGGACGAGCAGGGGAACCTGAAAGGCTTCATCAATGACGACGACGATGAAGAGGAGGAGGAGGAAGAAGAGGGCAGCGATTCGGGAGACTCGGACGATGATGTTGGCCGTAAAAAGAGGAAGCGGAGTAAGTGTCCTTGGGGAGGCCCCGCCCTAGACCACCTTCTTCCCTTCTCCCTCGCCTGTCCTTTTCTCTTTTTCCTGGGTGTCTCTTGGCTTGACTCTCTGTCTTCCAATAGATTTTGACGACCGCCTCGAAGATGATGACTTTGACCTCATTGAAGAAAACTTGGGTGTCAAAGTTAAACGGGTGAGTTCCCCATGAATGGCCAGGCGGGGGCTTTCTGTCAGAGAGAAAGATGTCCCCAACAATGTTCTCCTCTCCCTCATAAGATACTTTGATTTCCCCGAGACAGAGTCGCGGCTACTTTGGAGACTGCAAAAGGTCCTTTAGGACAGCATTAACGTTCATATGTGCTCAGGTGCAGAGGTAGTGGGGTTTTCCAAGACACAGCCGAAGAAGCCGCCGAGGGCCTTGCCCCTTCGGGGACCCTTCCTGGATCTGTATCATGAGTCCAAAACTGGGAAAGGGTCAGTTTTTGGGCTGCATCTTCCAAAATCTTGTACTGTACCTTTCATAGCTGCTGGTTGTAGCATTCTGTGAGATTTCCATTAATTAAAAGAACTCGGAGCTGCTTAGCTGTTAGTGGCATAGATGGGTACCCTTCTGCTCAGGCAACAGGGACTCTATCTGCTGACTCGGGGGTCTTGAGCCATTTCCAGCAGAATATCGCCTGCCTAGGTCAAAAGAGTGAGCAGAGGAGGTCCCTGAGATAGCCTTGTCCTGCACGAGAGGAGATCAGGAGGCTCTCCCTCAAAGCACCGAGGCAGCCGGCCCGGCGGATAGGACTTCCTGTCTCTCCAGATCAGAGGACCTCAAACCCCGTCTTCTCTCGGCAGCAAAAATTCAGGCGGGTCCGGAGGATGTCCGACGATGAGGACGACGAAGAGGAGGATTTGGGGAAGAAGGAGCAGGAGAAGGAAGCCATTGCCGAGGAGATCTTCCAGGACGGGGAAGGAGAGGAGGGGGGCGAAGGGGCCGACGGCCCTGTCGCTGCGGCTGAAGAGGATGAAGAGGAGGATGAAGACGAGTCGGGTACGGATTCAGAGGACTCGGTGGGGACCCAGTCAGATCAGGCGAGGGGGTGGGGCTCTTTTCCAGTCAAAAGGGGGCACTTCCTGAACTTGGTGCTGCCCCCCCTCCCTCCCTCCCTCCCAGGGTAGAATTTCAACCCCTTCCTGGAGGGGAGTGCCCCATGGTTGTGGATCATTTTACTGGTGAATAACAACAAGCCATGGGGTGGGATTTCCCCAAATGTGGGACTCCTGAGAGGGGAAGAAGGGGACTGGCCGGAGCAGCCCCTGAGCAGCTGTTCTCTTTTGCTTCCTTTCAGACATCGATGACTTTATTGTGGATGATGATGGGCAGCCCTTGAAGAAGCCCAAGTGGCGGAAAAAGCTCCCTGGATATACGGACGCGTATGTTTGAGCGAAACACTTGGCAGTTCTTCTTGGGTGGGGAACCCCGTCCCTCCCACACACCCCAAAACATGAATTCCTTTTCTCGGCCATTCAGAGTTCTCTGGTTTGCTTGGGTGGGTGGGTTTCGTTTGGCTTTTTACCAGGTTCTCAGGACTCCCCTGGTTCAAAAAAGGCACTGCGCGGATTCAGGTTCCTCTGGCACCGCAGCTTCCTTTCCTCTTGAGGGCAAGAGTCACCCTGAGAGCAACCGAGCCGTGAGATGACCCTGTTCTCTCCCCCACCCCCCGGCCTGCCCCCCAGTGCCTTGCAGGAGGCTCAGGAGATCTTTGGTGTAGACTTCGACTACGATGAATTCGAGAAGTACAACGAGTATGACGAGGAGATGGAGGACGAGTACGACTACGAGCCGGAAGAGACGGAAGGCGAGATCCGCGTCCGGCCCAAGAAGACGGCCAAGAAGCGGGTCAGCCGCCGCAGCATCTTTGAGGTGTATGAGCCCAGCGAGCTGGAGAGCAGCCACTTGACCGACCAGGACAACGAGATCCGAGTGACCGACATGCCCGAGAGATTCCAGGTGAGGAGCCCGACCCGTTCTCTCTTAGCTTGGGCCCACTTGGAGCCTCGTCTTGTTCAGAGGATTCTTGCCTCTAACGTCACCGCTTCTGCTTTTCCCTCCTTCCAGCTGCGCTCCATCCCGGTGAAGAATGCCGAGGATGACGAGTTGGAAGAAGAGGCGGACTGGATCTACCGGAATGCCTTTGCCATGCCCACCATCTCCCTGCAGGTGAGTTCCTGGCAAAGAGCCGCGGGGCTGCTGGGAGCCGCTTCCGGGCGGGACGTGGCTTGCTGCCTTTAGGGGGGGGGGAGAGAGAGTTAAGACCATCCAGGGCTGGCTGGCTTCCTTTCCCTTTGTGGAGCTCTTGCCAAACATGACCACCCCCTGGGGACCGAGGGCAACGCAGCTCCGATGCAGCCTCTCTTTCCGGACAGTTTCTGGGGTGCCCTCTATTAGCAGAGGAAGTGGGTGCTCTCTGGTTCTTCTACCCACAGTACCCAAGCATCCCACGTCAGCCCCTGGTTTGCTGTATTGGAGAAGCTAATCCGGCTGCTGCTTCAGGTGTAGCCATGGCTTGGAAAAATGCCTCTCTTTTTTTCTCCCCCATCACAAATCCCTAAATCTCCTGGCCAGTGCCGTAGCAGCTCCTTCAGGCTTGCGATGCAGCCTCAGGAATGCTGTTCCCGCATCGGCTGATCTTCCTCCTTTCCCCTCTCCACCACCCCAACCCCAATTCTCTCCCTCCCGCCCGGCAGGAAACAACTGATTACTTGGAACGGGGCCAGACCAGTAGCAGTTTCAGCCGCAAGGGCCCCAGCACCATCCAGAAGATCAAGGAGGCCCTCAACTTCATGAGGAACCAGCACTTTGAGGTGAGCTGGGAGGGAGAGGCCCACCCTTCGTATAGAGAGGGAAGGGACAAGCGCCTCGGCCTGCCCTGCACGTGGCCCGCCTTGCATGGAGGGCGCCCATCACTAGACCTTGGACCTTTTCCTCCCTGCTGGCCAAGGTTCCCTCCAAGCGCGGCACCCTCCTCCCTAGTGACTCCCACGTTCCGTGTCTTTGCAGTAACGCTCGTTATGTCTGTTTCCAGGTTCCCTTCATTGCTTTCTACCGGAAAGAATACGTGGAGCCCGAGCTTCATATCAACGACCTGTGGCGCGTCTGGCAGTGGGACGAAAAGGTGAGGGGAGGGGCAACGGGGAAGTGGGGAGGAAGGGGTTCGTTCTCCAAGGCTCCAGGGGGGCAGGCGTCTCACTCCCTGCCCTGTGGAGAGAGGACTTAAATGGGCACAGGACTTGAAGGTTGCTCACAAGAGGCCGGGCTGGATGGAAACCCCTGAAGGAATCTTTTTGGATGGGTTGCGTCTCTCTCACACAAAAACGAGAAGCAGAGGTTTTGGGAGGAACATCCCCATGATTGCTTTGGAGGGGATCCTCCCTGGGAGGGAATGGGCTGCCCTTTTCCCTTCCTCTTCCCAGAGGTAGAAGCAAGCGGGGAAGAAGATGCAGCTTACGGGACCTTCCAGAACGTTTGTTCCATTTTTTTTAAAGAGGTCCCCTTGGGAACTGTGGGCCTCGTTCCCTGACCCGTTCTTGCCACCCAGGGAGAGACCCTGGCTGCATGGAAGGCGGCGCCTGGCCTTTCTGGACCTCCCGTTTCCCACCTCCAGGAGGTTTCTGGCTCAGCGGGGTCGCCCTGATGGCTTTGCTGTCTGCTTGGGTGGTCAGTGATGGCCTTCGAAGGGAAAGGAAGCAGCAGAGGCGGGGGATGCACTCACATTTTCTCTCCTCCAGTGGACTCAGCTGAAGATCCGGAAACAGAACCTGACCCGACTCTTTGAGAAGATGCAGGCCTACCAGTACGAGCAGATCTCGGCCGATCCAGACAAGCCCCTGGCAGATGGGATTAGGGCCCTAGACACCACGGATATGGAAAGGTATTTCTTCACCACCACCCAGGCCTGAGTGCCGCTCTCCTAAAACCCAAGAGAGAGAGAGAGAGAGAGAGAGATCTCAGGAAAAGGCCACCTAAAGTATTTGGAAAGCATTCTTTGTGTGTCTACTTCCCAAGCTGGTCCATCAACTAAACGTACCTTTTATCATTTTCTTTGCCACTGAATTCTCTTTTTGTTCCTGCAGCTTCAGACACCTTTGCTTTCAGGGGGATCCCTGAATTTTGAGCAAAGGTCAATGAAAGGCAACTTTTTTAGACTGCAGAGAAACCCTTGGCCAAGATGGGAGTTTGTAATAGCTCTTCTAAGTTCCAGGTTTTTTTCACTTTTGAGCTACAGTCAAAAGTCCTTAAATGCCAAGATTCTAGTCCTCAGGGGCTTAAATTAAAAAGATGGCTGATGTGACCATCCAGATGGTATCATCCTTCAGTTCCCAAGCAGTGGTAGCAGTGAAAGAGGATGAGCAATGCAGTCTGGAAATAATAACGCCCACCCCACCCCGCTGGTCCTAGTTTGAACAGAGTTTGTTTGAAAAGCAAGATGGAAATCTGTACTCCAAATAGTGAGGGCATCTTGCAAGCTTTGGTTAATTCTGGGAAAGAGTGTGCCCCCCCCCCAATATCTCTCAGACCCTTTCCCCCCCCCAGGTCGATGGGCTCTCTTTTGCCTTGCCACTTGGGTCTCTGAGGAAGGAGCAGCCACCTGTGCCCTCACCCCCCCACACACACACACACACTCATGGCTGGCCCTGCTCTTTTTTCCAGGCTGAAGGACGTGCAGTCGATGGACGAGCTGAAGGACGTCTACAACCACTTCCTGCTCTACTACGGCCGGGACATCCCCAAGATGCAGAACGCGGCCAAAGCCAACCGCAAGAGGCACAAGCGGGTGCGAGAGGACGGCGAGGAAGAGGAAGGTCAGCTGCCTCTCTGGTTCGGGATCTGTCTGTTGCAAAGCCCCCTCTCCTCCCGCCTGCCTCTTCCCCTCCTGAAGATCCTTGCCAGCTCCTCCAGCAGTCTGTAGGTGAAGGGAGCAGGCCTGGGGCCTCCGTTCCCTGCCTCTCGTGGGTCTAATGTCTCTTTACCCCTGTAGTCCTTTCCTGGCAGAGCCTCTCGTTGGTTGAACTGATATAAAAACAAGCGCGCCAGCCAGTCCCTGCTGTGGAAGCCTCCCTGGGCGGGTAGATCTTGGGTGGCCAGCTTTTTTCTCCTTCTCTTCCCAGGCGAGGGAGAGGATGCCGAGGATGAGGAGCACAAAGGGCCGGAGCTGAAGCAGGCCTCCCGCCGGGACATGTACACCATCTGTCAAGCGGCTGGTTTAGGTAAGCTTTGACACCCACCCACCCAGTTGAACTCGCCCCCACCCCCCACNNNAATCGCAGGGCTGTGGACCTGCCGTAGAATGCCACGGGCTTCTGTCATGTTTCAAAAGCATGTTTCTGGCTTTTGATCTTGTTTCTTTTAGTATTGTGTTTAGCGTTAGCCGGGAGTCCTCTTGGGAAGAAAAGGTGAGGTGTCAATAATGACCAGGAAGAAGGGAGTAGGAAGGACCCAGAGCGGAGCACAGAGGCCCTGCCTGTCATTTCAGGCAGCTTCTTGAAAGCCTCTTTTTTTAGAGGCATCGTTTCCAAGCTTTTAAACAGACCTCGGCACCCTTACAGGCTAGGAATTTATTGATTTGGTTTTGCTGTTTAAACGGAATCTGAGATTCCCTGGGTGCCGAACGCGGTCCTTCGTTTGACACCCCCCCCTGTGCTTCCACAGAGCTTCAGAGCCTGAGCAAAAAGGTCTGGGATGGAGAACCGGGGGTGGGGGTCCGTTTGCTGGGCACCTTTCCTTGGTGCTGTGTGTGTTGCTGCTCCCCTTTTCCCTTATGTTAGTAACCCATTTTGTCTGCGATCTCTGGGGGACTTGTTCGTTTAGATACTCTGCCTTCCTAGAGAAATGCTGCCAGAGATGTAGAAATTAAACAACTCAGAGCAAGATTAACCCAAACAAGGTTTCCCATGTGAACATAACAAAGAATGGGATAAGCAAATCAGTTCACGATGTAACAAAAAGTGTCTCCTTGAGTAATAACATGGTTTGAAAATTGCTTTTGAAAAGAAAGGAAGGAGGAAGCTGGTTTCCAGGTGTCTTTTTGTGGGGGGAGGGGAGTACAGCCCCCTTCAGATGATGCTGGATTATATTTCCCGGCTTCCCCTGTCCTTTCCTCTGATGGGAGTTGTAGTCCAACCCCTGCTGGAAGGCTACATTTCCCCACCCTTGTGCTCTCGGGCCTCTCCGACAAAACCATTCCAGAATCTAGGTACTATTTGGGTGATGCAGCCTTGTAGGGAGCGGTGGGGGGGGGAGGTTGTGGAAAGCTGGGGCTGGCCTGGGACCCTCAAATTCTTTGACTAGGCTTGCAGCCTCCAGCAGATATTGATAGCATCTCCCTCAGCAACACACTAAGGGAGCCCCTAAGCTTGTCCTTCCTAGTCATCTCATACTCACCTCCTGCTTATGGATAACCATTTTCCCCCCTCTCGCTGGCTTGCCCACAGATGGCCTGGCCAAGAAGTTCGGTCTGACTCCAGAGCAGTTTGGTGAAAATCTGCGTGACAGCTACCAGCGCCACGAGACGGAGCAGTTCCCGGCAGAACCCTTAGAGCTGGCCAAGGATTACGTCTGCAGGTGAGAATGGCCACCCCGGTATTATCCCAAACATAGACACACACAAATTCCCACAAAGGGTTTCCTGCTCCCCTTCATCTTTCCTTTTGACAGGAATCCAGAACAACCCTCGTGTCTCCTTTTGCTGTTGCTTTCATCTGGTTTTCTAGAACGTGTAAAATACCCCGTATCCCTGGTTTTGGAGAGGTGGATAGTCAAACAAACCCAGTGGCAGCAAAAGTGATTTGCGCTAACTTAAGAGCGACCAAAGCCTTATTTAGGAGGGAGAGGTCATTAATAGATGTGCCGACGGAATACGTGGGTCGGGAGACACTTCCCTCCAGCGTCTTCCGAAAGACCGAGTGATGCGGGTGTTTTTTTTTCCCATGGGGCTCTTTTTGATTTCCTCTTCCAACCTCTCTATCCTGTGCGGGGGGGGGGCTGTCCTTTATCTTCTTGCCGAAGAGCCTGTGGCGCCTCAGCTCACCTCCGCCCTGCCTGTGTCCCTCCCTTATTTTTGCTCCCTGCAGCCAGTTCCCCACCCCGGAGGCTGTGCTGGAGGGCGCCTGCTACATGGTGGCCCTGCAGATCGCCCGGGAGCCCTTGGTGCGCCAGGTGCTCCGCCAGACCTTCCAGGAGAGGGCCAAAGTCAACGTCTCCCCCACCAAGAAGGGCAAGAAGGTAACCAGCGCCTGCCTGGGTCGGGAGGGGGCTGGGAGGGGGGAGAGCCCCACTAGCTTTTCCCTTTAGAGAGGGAGAGTGGGCATTGTATTCTGAAACCCTTGGCCGGGCCTGGGAAGCCTGGAGGAGGGTCTGGGGCCCCTGCCTGCTCTGTAGATCAGGGGGGAGGGGTCTGTGGGCGTGGGGCGTGCTCTCAGCCGGGCCTGGGGCCTGCCGTGGCTGCCCCTTCAACGCAGCCCTCTTTCCTTCTTCACTCTTCAGGACGTGGACGAGGCCCACTACGCCTACTCCTTCAAATACCTGAAGAACAAGCCGGTCAAAGAGCTGCGGGACGACCAGTTCCTGAAGATGTGCCTGGCCCAGGACGAGGGGCTGCTCAGCATTGACATCTGCATCGACATGAAGGGCGTGGAAGGGTAAGCCTCTCTTTTCTCTCCCCCAGCCACCCACCCACCACTGGAAACAGGATTCAAGTACCAAAGAAAGAGTTAGAGCTTGTTTCCCTGGGAGGGAGTCACTGTTCCCCACTCCCTGCTCACGCGGCTGGCCCTGATCCACGGGGATCCCCTCCTTCCTTTCTCCCCTTCCAGCTACGGGAGCGACCAGACCTATTTCGAAGAGATCAAGCAGTTCTACTACCGGGACGAGTTCAGCCACCAGGTGCAAGAGTGGAACCGGCAGCGCACGCTGGCCATCGAGAGGGCCCTCAACCAGTTCCTCTACCCGCAGATGGCCAAGGAGCTGAAGAACAAGCTCCTGATGGAGGCCAAGGAGTTTGTCATCAAGGTGAGGGAGGGCCCCTCCCCTCCCGGCCCAGGCGCTGCGGCTTCGCCCTGCCTGCTTGCCTTCCTCTCCTCCAGCCGGGCCCCTCTAGTTGGACTCCTTTGGGGCTCTTTGCCATTTTACCCCTCGAGGGGTCTGTATTTTCTTTCTTCCCCGTCTTCCTTGTTGATCCAGAGTTCTGGGGGAAAACGAGCTACCATGGGAGCTGCCTTGCTTCCAGCTGGAGGGTCCTCAGTTTCTCCCCGGTTCTCGTCCCTCAGGCTTGCAGCCGGAAGCTCAACAACTGGCTGAAGGTGGCTCCCTACCGTCCGGATCAGCAAGTGGAGGAAGACGATGACTTTATGGACGAGAATCAGGGGAAAGGCGTCCGAGTGCTGGGCATTGCCTTCTCCTCAGCCAGGTACGGAGGGCGGTGCTTTGGCCAGGCTTTTCCGGGGGGGGGGCTTCTTCCCCTCTGTTCTCTTCTGACACAAGAGAGGGGTCCCTCATTTGTGACTTTTTTTTTTTTTTGCAGAGACCACCCTGTCTTCTGCGCCTTGGTGAATGGGGAAGGTGAGGTGACGGATTTCCTGCGGCTGCCCCACTTCACCAAGCGGAGGAACGCCTGGCGGGAGGACGAGAGGGAGAAGAAGGTGAGCAGAGGAGTGAGTGGGTTCCTGAGGGGGGGGTCGCTTCCAGTGTTGGGATCTGCAAGATGAGGGGAAGGCTTCATCTACAAATTCCTGCACTGAGCCTTTATCTGCAAGATCCCTGCTTCCCCTCATCTTGCAGATCCCAACATTCCAGCATCCGGAGGGGCGTTGGCCTTCTCCTCCGTGGGGGGGGCGTGAAGCAGAGAGGGCACCTTTGCCAGCCTGGGTGTCCCTCTCGGAGCCGTCTGGTTCCCCACAGAGAAGAAAACAACACTCTCTCTACACGTCTGTCTTATCTGTCTGTCTCTCTCTCTCACACACACCTTTTCTCTGCCACTAGGCTCAGGACATCGAGACGCTGAAGAAGTTTCTGCTGAGCAAGAAACCCCACGTGGTCACAATTGCAGGGGAGAACAGGTGAGCTGAGAAGGAAGAGGAGCAGCCCATTGGGAGCCTCTCTTCAGCTGGACGATGGGCTCAGCTCTGCCTTTGCAGGGTGTCGACGACCCCATTTAGTCCAGAGGATAAACATGTCTGGAAAGGAGGCACCGCCATAGGGGAGGGCTCTCCACTCGGCTAGAGTCTGTGGAACTCGCCGCTCCAGGAAACTCAGCCGCTTTGCGCTGCCGAGCCGTGCCAGAGTCAGCTGTGCTCCGACAGGCTTGCAGGTCCTCTCTCCAAGCAGGGACGGGGTCTCTTCTCCCCTCTGAGGTGGTTTTGCCTCTCAGAGCCGGGGCCGTGCAGGTGGGCGAGAGACTTCAGGAGTGTCTTTCTGCCTCCCGGCCCTCCTCTCGCAGGGACGCCCAGATGCTGATGGAGGACGTGAAGCGCATCGGCCACGAGCTGGAACAAGGGCAGCAGCTCTCCTCCATCGGGGTGGAGCTGGTGGACAATGAGCTGGCCATGCTCTACATGAACAGCAAGAAGTCCGAGGTGAGTCCGCGCTTGGGAGCCGCCGAAGGCAGGTCACCCTCCCCTGCGTCCTCCCTTTGACCGGTGAAGCAGGCCCTGATTTAGGGTCTCCCCCCCTGCCCCTGCCGTCACCACGGCAGCCGTGAGGAGGAACAGGATGGATGCGCTCAGCGGGAGAGATCCCTCTGTGTGCGGAGGACTCCAGTCTTCACCCCGAGGTCTGCGTGGAAGGATCAGGGGAGCTGATGGGGCTGGGGTGGCCTTTCCTGCTTGGAATGCATGCCCCTTCCCCCGCTCTCCTCTCCTGCCTCTTCCCCACTGACTCCTCTGGCCCCCCTCTGTCTCCTGCAGAACGAATTCAGGGATTACCCCCCAGTGCTGCGCCAAGCGGTCTCCCTGGCCCGCCGCATCCAGGACCCGCTGATCGAGTTTGCCCAGGTCTGCAGCTCCGACGAGGACATCCTGTGCCTGAAGTTCCACCCTTTACAGGTAAGCGCACAAGGCCGGCCCTTCCTTCCCTCCTCCCCCCCCCCATTCCTTTCTTGTACACACTGAACCTGAGCATGGGTGAAAAATTCAGCCTCTCCCTTAATCATCGCCTCGATCTCTTGAGTCCCTTCTGGCTGGTTGGACAGGGAGGTTTTCTGTGTCTCTGTTTCTATACGGAGTCAGGTAGAATCTGCATGTTAACTCATTTCAGTTTGCCCAGCTACTAATTTCCTGTGATGGGTTTTGTGTCCCTTTTTCCGGAAGGAGGTGCTCAGTCCACTGACAGGAGAAAAGGAGGGGGTCTTCCTAGCAGGGTGGAGGTGGGGGTCGCCCCCTCCCTGATGGCATAGAAGTCCATCTCCCATCATCCTTGGTCCTGGGCTCAGGAGGCCCACACAGTTCCCCACCCTGTCCCAGATTGACGCCTCTTGGCGCTGAGCCTTGCAAAACCCACCCTTTCCCTCCCACGTGGACTCAGGCGCGGTGGGGGGGGGGATTGGATATTCCTGCACCTTTCCCAGGAGGCTAGTATATCTCTCCTGCACGTGGAGGCCGGCCGGCGGCTTCTCTTCCAAGCTCCAGCGTCTCCCTGACTTGATTGTTGGTCTTCTCCGTCCTTGGCCAGGAGCACGTCGTGAAAGAAGACCTGCTGAGCGCCCTCTACTGCGAGTTCATCAACCGGGTGAACGAGGTGGGGGTGGACGTCAACCGTGCCATCGCCCACCCCCACAGCCAGGCTCTCCTGCAGTATGTCTGCGGCCTGGGACCCCGTAAGGGGACACACCTGCTGAAGGTGAGCCCCCGCGGCCTCTCCCTGCGTAGCCGGGCCAGGCCTGTCGGCCGATGCTCCTCACATGTGGGGCTGCAGGACCAGCAGCTTTCCTTAGCTGAGACTTGGAGTGCGGCCTCTGAGACGGAAGGAGGCTTCCCTTGTTCTCCTTGTCCTGGCTTTGTGAGTCCCTGGGAGGGTCTGGCCTTCACCCCGTCCTCTGGGCGCCGTCTCTTAGCAATACCCGTGGGTCTGTCTGCATGACCTCCGCCTCTTCCTGCTCCCTCAGATCTTGAAGCAGAACAACACCCGCCTCGAGAACCGGACCCAGCTGGTCACCATGTGCCACATGGGCCCCAAAGTCTTCATCAACTGTGCCGGGTTCATCAAGATCGACACGGCCTCGCTGGGGGACAGGTTGGTGCCAAGGAGAGGGTGGAGGCTCGTTTCCCACGTCGAGGCCCTCCTGGGTCTGGCAGAGGAGCCCAGCAGGGTTGGGGGTTGGCCCCTACAAGCGGCTGCCACCGTCGTTCGTTCCCGTCTTGACTTTGACCCCTTGGGTCCCCTCTTAGCACGGACTCCTACATCGAGGTGCTGGACGGGTCCCGCGTCCACCCAGAGACCTACGAGTGGGCCCGGAAAATGGCCGTCGACGCTCTCGAGTATGACGAGTCAGCCGAAGACGCCAACCCGGCGGGGGCCCTGGAGGAGATCCTGGAGAACCCGGAGCGCCTGAAGGACCTGGACTTGGACGCCTTCGCCGAAGAGCTGGAGAGGCAGGTGGGTGGCCTGGCCCCGGAGGGGGGCGCCCGAGGAACCCCCCCCAGGAGCCTCCTCCTCCTCTTCCTCCTCCTCCTCCTCCTGGGGCCCGTCTCCCCGCCTCTCACGGCCGTGTCCTTCCTCGCAGGGCTATGGGGACAAACACATCACGCTGTACGACATCCGGGCCGAGCTGAGCTGCCGCTACAAGGACCTGAGGACCCCCTACCGCTCCCCCAACTCCGAGGAGGTCTTCAACATGTTGACCAAAGAAACACCCGAGACCTTCTATATCGGTGAGCGACCTTCCGCTGGGCGGGAGGTGGGAGGGGGACCTCTCGCTTCGGGTGCCTCTGTGTGTGTGTGCGTGCATGTTAAGCTTCAGGAAGGAGGCAGGAGGGCCTTTCCTGCTTTTACAGGAAAAAGTGGTACTTCCCTGAGACTCCAAGAAACAGCGACACGTATATTTATTTGTTGTTGTTGTTGTTCCCAGTTGGGTGGGTTCTGGGGCACTTGTGAAAGAAGATCAGGAGCCAGGAGAGACCCCTCGAGGCCTCTCTGACTCCCTCCCCGAGGCACACGTAGGCCACCCAAGAGAGGTCGTAGAAGACACCTGGGCCGCGCCAGCAGCTCTCCCTCCCGCTCTTCTTCCCCTTCCCAAACCTCCTCTCGACCCTTCCCCTCCCAGGTAAGCTGATCATCTGCAGCGTGACCGGGATAGCCCACCGGCGGCCCCAGGGCGAAAGCTATGACCAGGCCATCCGGAATGACGAGACGGGGCTCTGGCAGTGCCCCTTCTGCCAGCAGGACAACTTCCCCGAGCTGAGTGAGGTAGCGGACTTTGCCTGGGCTGTCCACTGGTGACCCCGCTGGGTTGGGGGGAGCCTCCGCTTCTAGAAAATCCACCCCCACCCCCTTTCTGGGTCTTTGGGGCCCCAGATCTCCTTGCGCTCTGCAAGCTCGTGGGCCTGGTGGGTGCTATGGATGCTCTCGCCCCCCCCCCTTGCTTACTCTGAGGCCTCTTCCTGCACCCCCTTTCCATTCTCCGG